TCTGCTTATATTTTTTTTTTTTTTTAAGGTTCGTGTATTAAATCAGCAATGTCACGCACGATATTACCGGCTGGAAACGAATCTTTTCCAAAAGGAAGAAACATAAAAGTAAGTTGGAAAGCGTGTGGAAGTAAATTGGAACCATGCATGCCATGCATGCAGATGATTTTTTAGAATGGCACGATCATAAAAAGCCGGTTTTACGCATACAAAATAATTTATGTAATTCAGAGCCGGGGGTCGTGGTAAAATTAGCCAACCCCGTGTACAAATATGCGAAGCGGCTTGGGCGCCGCCATCTGCGTATTTACAAATGCATCATCATTCTATAAGTAATGTTTTACGATCAAACGTCTGTGGAATCGGATCATATGATACAAAAATAAAAGAAAGACTTTACTATATGTGCGTATGAAAGAAAAATTATAAGTGAGTCGACATATATATATATATATATATTTTTGAAAAAGAAATGTGAATTGAATTTATAGTAAGAAAAAATAAAAGGAAAAGAAATAATACGTAATTATATGATTTTACCGTTTTTAAAATATTAGAAATAATGAGAAGAAATAAATATTGGAAATAATATACAATTTATAATTTTTAAAGGGATATTCAAAAATATAATGAAAATTTCAAAGAATTGAAATCTATATTATAAATTTATAATTTAAAACAATACAATGTTTCAATATTACAATTCATTAACAATATTTAATCAATAATTGAATTATATCATTCAATATCTGTGCACAACAAAATGATACAGAGCAAATCTTCCAACTTATAAATTTCTAATTTAGTTAAATTAAAGTCTAAATCTAAGTCTTAGTTTAAGTTAAAGTCTAAGTCATGACTTGATAATTATTAATAAGATTCAAATTAAAAATAAAATTTAAATAATTTATTATTTTATTAAAAGTTTTTATTTAATTCTAGATATAATAGAAGAAATATAATTGTATCTCGTATGTATTACAAAAAAAAACATTCCTCGAAAAATACTGTCATAATTAAAACAATTTTCAACAAAATTTGTTTCACGGTTTCACAGTGAAGATAAGAATCATAGAAGAAACAATCATATCGTCGCGATCTCGATGACAAATCGTGGTGAAACCGCAATTATTTGATGTTAAACCGTTGTTGGCATAAACTGATCGCGACTGTGACAATCCGTTGCAAGCCGGTTAAGGGCGCATTTGCAAAGCGGATTTTCTTGTGAACAAGTATTCTTCTTTCGCAATTAAGAAACGTTTGGCGTGAAACAATGAACCTCGTCACCTGATATTTTCAGAAAAATGATCGTGGGTAGATTTCAAACTCATTTCTTGCACCATGGAATCTGTATAATTTTAACGATGAGAGTTACGAAAGAGTTAAAGGAGGATATCTTTTTACAAATTTTATCGAAAATATTGATTTGTTAAATACACGATATATTGATAATAATTATATATAATGAGATTAGATGCAGATGTCTTTGCAAATTTAGATATATTTTTAAAAATTCAGTTATAATTTTCAGTTATATTTTTTATTAAGTATATAATTTCTTGTCTTATTTATATAATGAACTGAAAATTATAATTTAAATATTAAATCGTGAGATTTATACATACATTTTTATAACAAAAATATATTGAAATTGTAAAACAATTGTTAAGATGATATGTGAAATTATTCGAATCGTCGAAGCTTCATAGCTTAACCTCAAAGACAGACAACCTTGAAGGTTAACATCGTATAAAGCTTACTCAAAAACTTAAGACTTGAGGTTTAGCTTTTGAGGCTTTTGAAGTTAAAGCAAATAAATTAACTAAACTTTATATGATATTAGACTCAACCTTTAAAGTTTTGAAAGCTTTAAAGACTATAAAACTATATGTTAATATCATCATTTATATTAATATCATTATATTATATTAATATCATCAATCAGTTATTTTTTAAAAATTAAATCATGTGCCATTAATTACGATGATATTTTTAAGTTAATTAAGTTAAATTAACTCTATTTTTTAAAAAAATTTTATTTAAAATTTTTTATTTTTTTATGATTTTTCTACAATTACAATCTCAAATTCCAATCGTTATAATTTTATTAAATTTTAGAATAACTTTATAACATTTTGAATTTCTCCAACTATTCCATCGCAACTGATTACATTGTACGTAACCTTTCATGCTCATTTCTATTGTCGAGCATTCGAAGATCACTCGAAAGTGATGAAATCGGCGTGCATTATACCAAGTAAGTGCCACCAACCTAGACGAATCTCACGTTACGAAATGTAATCAAGATGCGCGCTCCTGTGAAAAAGCAGACTCCCTATTTCGTCGCGTATGTGCATGCGCATAAAAGAAAATTTCGCAATGGCGGCGATGTAATAATGACTTTATTTAGGTCGCTTAAAAATCGGATTGATTTGAATGATTCGTGGTACGCGATGCAAAAGTTAAGTGAAATTGAGACAGAGATATTGAAATATTCGATTGGATTGATATCTAAGTAAAAAAGTGTTTGAAAGAAGTTATTTAGTAAACTACTTATTTTAGTAAGAAATCTAGGTTAAATATTGAAATTATAAATTGTAATGGTGACGATAATATGAAAAAATAACATTACTTAACTGAAGATTCTTAAGATAAGATAATTTTTTTTTCCAAAAACTTTCGTTTTGACTCTGTTAACTCTTTATATTATATCAATACATAATTTTCATTTTAAAGTAAATTTCCGACAAGAAATATAACGATGCATAATGCAAAAAATAAACGGAAAATAATATCATTTAAGAAGAATAATATTAGTAAGAATTATATTAATGATAAAAATAATATTAATGAAAAAAAAAACTGGCCAGAATATATAAATTATCAAGCATTTAAAGTTTTTGAAAAAGAAAATTTTATTTAAAATTATTTCAGTAATTTTATTAATATATCATGTTTAAAATCAGGAAAAAATACTTATAAAGTTTCAATAATTTATAATCTATAGTTATGATCCTAAAACGTAATACACAAAATAAAAATTTTTAAGTGTTAAAACTATTCCATTATTTTGCAATACGTCAAATTTCGCCAACTTTCACGTATTGGTTGTTGCAGTTTCGAATTACGAAACGAAGATAATCGGCCGAGATAAGAGCAATTCGCGAGAACTCGCGTGACATTTGTCGTTTTCGATTGCGTATTATGTTCATTGCAAAAGGAAAATGTTGGACGTGAACGAAATTGCAATTATCGACTAATGATATTTTTGTGATTTTTTTTTCGAATAAATTGTCCTCATGTTTAATAAACATTAATTATTGAGAATTGATATCCTTTTACGTAATCGAACATATGTAAAAATCTATTTAAAAAGTTGTGTAAATTTATATTTTTCAATTTTTTGTTTTCGTGAATGATAAATTCGTAATCTCCTTTTTAATGTTTAAATAATTTGCAATCATTCTCACATAAAATAAAAAAAATTTAAAAAATACATAATTAATAATTATTTCTATTTTTCAGTATTTTTCAACTTTTTTCAAGTTTCGACGTTTTTTTTGTGATATTTAACTAATTTGCAATCCTTTCATGCAAGGTAAGAAAAATTTAAAAAATTAATACAATTGATATTTTCCAATTTTTTTTGAATTATAAATTATTTTCTTTTATAATATTTAAATAACGTTTAATTCTTCCTATATATGAAAAATTAAAAAATCAACATAATTTTATTATCCTTTTGTAGATCTCGATCTCCAATTTGAAAATCATTGGCATAAATCGTATTTCATCAATAACAAATTAACGAATGATGAAAAAGAAATGAAAGAAAAGCAAAGACAAGACATTATCCAAAATTATCCAATTATCCAAAATTTTGTCACTTCTTTCAATTCAACTTTCATTTCATCGTCATTATTTGATGGATGATTTCGGAGCCCACTTTGTATCATCATCTCTAGCTATATCTTGAGTTACATCATCCATGACGTTAAGTGTCAGTGAATCACTTTCCGTCCACTGATCAACGGATGACCTCATTTGACTAACAAGTTTATGAGTCAAACTGTTATATTAAGCCAATCATTGGACGATCCTTTTTAATTCTTTTGCTCTCCAATTGTGTCCTTAAAATGTGTACTTACACGATTGATGAAAAGCGAGCAGAAAGAAAATGGAATTCGTATTATTACATATCAAGAAGAGACAATATTTTTTTTCTTGGTTATCTCCAAGTTATTGATAATTATTGCTTTTACGTAACCGTTTGGAAACTTTGGAAAAGGTTAATACATCACGAAGTCATCAATTGCACGTTTCTTGTTTATCTTTTTCCTTTCGTGTTATATAAATGTTTAGATAAGAGTGAACTTCATCCAACTTTTGATTTTACTTTGAAAGATAATTGTACTGTAGATGCAAAACTCTTTTTGAATAAAATATTTAATTATTTCTTTTTTTTTTTATAAATATCTTGTAAATTTTATTGTTGATGAAGGAATATGTTTTGTAAGTTAATATTGACCAATGAACACTTATTTTTCTAAAGAAATTATTTATCTATAAAAATTATCACAATTGTCATTGAGGATTTTTTTTCCATTCAACGGTTTTTGAAATTTTTATAAAAAATCATCGATAATTTATATATACTTATAAATGCTAATGAAAGAGAAACAATTTGGTTGAAATTAAGTCGAGTCACGTAGCAACATTAAACAAGGATTAGAGACGTCGAATAAATTTTTATTACTTATTCATCGCGATTAAATCATTCTTCAATATCAATAATATTTATTCATTGGAAATATAATTGCTGAAAGCGTTTAACAATATATCTATAATTCTTAATAAATTAATTACATCCAAAATGACTTGCTTTAATTATTACTTATTTACATAAGTCAAATAATAATTAAATATTTATAATATTAATATTTGTATGAACATGAAAAAAAATTTTTATTAATCATAATTAAAGAAAAATTGATAAATATATATATATATATATTTATAATAAATATATAAAAAATATTTTTATTATTGTAGGAAAACATCTTCAGAGTTTTTGCTTTTTTAAATAGATAAAGATAATCATTAATAATTTTTTAATTTAGTATAATTCCTTTTATATATATCTTAAAGCACATTTACATAACCAGATTGTTCATTTAATAAAAATCCATCTGATTCTCTCATCAATTATGATTTTTCCAATTAACACGTTTTCTGGTTATAAATTTAGAAATAATTTTGCAAGCACAATAAATAGATTGCGAATTTTTATGAATGTTTATTAAAAAAATGGAAAAAAAAATAGAGATGTTTTATTTCTTGAATATAAATAATACCTATTTTATATTATTATATTAATAATATTTAATATTTAATATTTAATGAATTTTTATGAATGTTTATTAAAAAAATAGAAATGTTTTATTTCTTG